GCCCAGGGCAGGTGCTGGGAGAAGCAGAGTCCAGGACTGAGGTCCTCTCCACCCCGCCGCCCAGGAGTATGGGCCCCGTTGGAAGAGAAGAGCCCAGAGACCTAGGAGGTTCCAGATTCGAGTGACAGCTCACCGGGTGGAACACTGGCGGTTGCAGAATGAAGCTGTCAGGAATTGGGTCCAGTTCTTCTCCAGGTGACATGAGAGTGGGTGACAACTCCAACTGCAGAGCCTCGTTCCAGGAGCCCTGCCCCCAGTGGGCTGACCCACCTGCCGCAGCCAGGGTCCTGAATGCCTGCAGCAGTTCTCCCAGCTATGAGTCTCACCTGTGCCCTGCAGGGTCTTAATGCTGTCTGGAGCAGCCCTGGGAAGGCAGTGGGTGCCCTCCAGGCTCCACACCAGCCCCACTCCCAGGGATGTACAGCAGAGCTCTGGCTGGACTGGGGCTGTCAGCAGAACTCCATGTCCAGGGGAGGAAGGCTGGCATAAACAACTAACTACCCACTCTGGGTCTGCAGCACGTGGCCACTGCAGAGGGGGGCCAGCGAGGGTTTGTGGTTTCCAGCTTGAGCCCTTGCTGGGTCAGAGGAAGGGGAGGTGATTCATGTGTATAGGTTCCAGAAACTGCCCCACCCCCAGCCCCCTGGACAGCTTTGGGTGACTTCCCATTCCTTCTTCCCTTCACCACAGAGGGTTTTATTTCTTCCCTGCCTTTTCTTGCCCCTTCCTCCACTCTTCTTCCTTTTCCAAGTTTTACAGCCCCCTGAGGCTCTATTTCAGCATCAGCTGGAAATGCTGGGTCCCAGCTGTGGTCACAAGAAAGTAGAATGAGGGAAGGGGGAAAAGCAGGGTCCCTTACGCTTCTTGTACTGAAAAGGCAGTACAAGAAGCACATAACCGCACAGGAAGGAGACTGGAATTCTCCCTCAGACTCTCGTCTAATGTGCTGTGTGCCCTTGGAAGAGTCACTTCCCATCCCTGGGCCATCCTTTGTTCATCTGTACAAGGAGAAAGTGACCGTAGCAGCATGTCCCACAGGGAGGCCTGTATCTAGGGGTGGGCCAAATGTCTGCGGTTTACTAGAGTCCTTCCAGTTCTGGCTCAAATCCCAATAAGCCTTTCCCTTTAAAAAGCAGCACAACCTCTCAACTTTATCTTGAGTTGGAATGTTCCAGGATCTGACCCATAGCGTCAGACTTGGCAGCCTAGAATTCCTGGCAGGACCAGGTTGGGCAAAGGCTCAGACACATGGGGTTCTGAGGGCAGAGTAAGTAGCTCCCTGGATGGAGGGAGAGTGCATGAAGGGTCGTGGGATAAGGTATCTTAGCCAAACTGTGGTCCACAAACTGCCAGCATCAGCTTCACCTGAACACTTGTTAAAAACGCAAGTTTTGGGGCCCCACCCCAGACCGACTGAGGAGTACTCTCTGGAAGCCGGGCCTAGGAATCTGCATTTTCACAGGCCTTCCAGCTGATTCTGATGCACTTTAAAGTTGGAGAAGCATTGACTTAGGATGGAACTGGAAGGGCTTTGGGTGTGGAGCTAAGTTTGTTCAGAGCTTGCGCAGTAGGTGGAGCGGGGTTACTGAAGGTGCTTATGTGGGGAAATTCAGTCAGATGTGCTCAGGAACGGGGCTCTGTATACACAGTGAGAGGAGGAGAAGGGTGGAGGGGCCAGTGTGTTGGAGAAAAGAATCAAATTCTGAAACATTTGAAGAGATTTATTCTGAGCCCAATATGAGTGGCCAGTGGCCTGTGACACCGCCCCAGGAGATGCTGAGAACATGTGCTCAAGGTTATTAGGCTACATTTTGGTTTTATGCATTTTAGGGAGACATGAAACATCAAGCAATACATATAAGATGTACATTGGTTTGGTCCGGAAAGGTGGACAAACTCAAAGAGGTGGGCTTCCAGGTCACAGGTGGATTCAAAGACTTTCTGACTAGTAATTGGTTGACAGAGTGAAAGTGTTCCAAGGTCCTTGCACTGTTTCAGGGGATTGTTTAGGATAGTAATTTTAGACTTAAGCAAACGTGTTAAAATTTCGAGGGCAATGAGTAAAAGAATACAGTGTAATCTTCCAAATGAGTAGAGGGAAAAAAGCATTATGCTAAGATTAGATATTTATGAAGAATATTAGAAGAATTCATGGGAAGATTTTAAAACATAACAAATAGAGAGATAGAAAACATAATTAACTGAAATAATCAATTTTGTAAAGATGCCAACATTGCCAAGTTGATTTCTTGATTCACTGCAATTCCAAGCAAAATGCCAACAGGGTATTTTGAGCAACTTGCCAAACTAGTTTTGAAATTTATAATGAAAGGCAAAAGCTGAAGTATAGCTGAGAAGTTCCTGAGGAACTTCTTGAGATATCTGTACATCAAGATTTATCATAAAGATGTAGCAATTAAAATTCCATGATAGTAGCACAAAGACAGATACACTGACCAGAGAAACTGAATAGAGTCAACAGTATTCCTGCTCAAAGCGGTATGCAGAACAGAGGTGGCCTTGTTCATCCACTGGAAAGTGGACTATCCACAATGGTGCTGAGATAAATGATTATTCGTATGAGGAAAAATGAAGTTGGATCCCTGCCTCCCACATATAAAAAATCAATTCTAAATGGATTAGTGGAAAAGGGAATATTTACAAATATTTTCAAGAAAATATAGGAGAATATTTTCTGATTTCAGGGCAAGAAAGACTTCATGAGAAGATAGAGAGCTGACAATAAAAGACATAAATTCGACTTGTCAAAAGACATGCAGCAAGTGAAAAGACAAGCCATTATCTGCAAGAAAATGTGTGTAAACAAGTATAACTGATTAAACATGAGTATCAAGAATATACAAAGAGCTCCTACAAATAAAAAAGAACACATCTCCAAAGAAAAATAGGCAAAGGACATGAGCAGGCACTTTTTAAAAGAGGGAATATGATAAATAGATGCAAAGGTCTCAACTTTATTAGCAATCAGGGAAATGCAAGTTAAAATTCTGGTGAAATACTATTTTACATTCACTCTCCTGGAAAAATCAAGAAGTGTGACAGTAGTAGGTGTTGGTGAGGACGTAAATTAATAATTCTTACCTATGCGGTAGAAGTGAAATTGGGACTACTAACTGGGAAAAAGTTCTAGTGTTTTATTGTAAAGTTGGATATTTGCATATGCTTCTAGGTATTACATCTTGTGGGATATCTGAATGCATATACCAGGATACAATTTGGGTTCTTTACAATTGTTTCCAGCTCCAAATTAGATTAAAACAACAACAACAACAACAACAAACAACAAACCACCTAGTGGATTTATTAGTAGATCAATAAATTGTGTTATTGTCACAGAGCGGAAGGTTTTACTGCAGTAAAAATGAATTACAGGACTGTAGAGCACTAAGTCTGTGTTATAGAAACAACTTTAAAAGAAGAAACCTGCAGAAGAGAACTCACAGCATGACACCATTTGTCTTAGTCCATTCGAGCTGCTATAGCAAAATACCAGAGGCTGGGTGGCTTAGAAACAACAGCAATTTGTTTCTCACAGTTCTGGAGGCTGAGAAGTCCAAGATCAAGGTGCCAGCAGATTCCTATCTGGTGAGGGACTGGTCTCAGTTATCAGATGGATGGCAGCGGCTGTGTTCTCACATGGTGGAAGTGACTAGGTAGCTCTGCAGGACCTCCTTTATAAGGGCACTTATGAATCCCACTCATGACCAAAGGGCCCATCACCTGATACCCTCACTTTGGGGGTTAGGATCCTAGCACATGAGTTTCACGGAGTCACAAACACCCAGACCATAGCACCGTTTTTATAAAGTTTCAGAGAAGCAAAACGAAGTAATGTATTGGCGACACAAATAAGCAATTTAAAAAACTATTGAAAAAAGTGGTATGACAGACACAAAGCTCAGGATAGAAGCTGGGCATGCCAAGGGAGACGGGATAAGGAAGGAACTCATAGGTGGGAGCATCTGTACTAGGAATGTTCCATTTCTTAACTAGGATGGTTTTGTCATGGGTAGTAATTTTATTATGTTTCATAACTATGTGTGAGGGAGAAGGAAAGGGAAACTCAGTTGGGGAAGACTCACTGCGGAAGCGGCCTGCCTGAAAAGTCACCGCAACAGGTAAAAATAAAACGACCAGGGAAAAAATGCAGGCTGCACCTGCACGCAGATACGCAGACAGGGGCCAGCACAGAAGCCCCTTGTTCTTTGTGTAATTAGCGAGTTTCCCAGGAAAGTTTCCTCCCCTTTTCAGGCATATACATGGTGGGAAATTGTGCAGGGAGGAGGGGGACTTACTTAAAACAAACTCCCAGTTATATAAAGAAGGCGGTGCTTTGTGCTTGTTTACCACAGCTGCAGAAGACATGACAGCTTTACTGATAAGAGAAGTTACTCAACTGCTACAGAGATAAGAGGTTTTCTTACAAAAGCTTTTGGATTCAGCTGCAACAGGGCATACCCAGCTCGCTGTGGAGACTCTTCTTTTGCTTATTAAGCTTTTGCTCCCACCTCACCTTGTGTCCCCTTCCTTAATTTTCTTGGAGTAGGACAAAGAACCCCGGGTATTAGTCCAGACAAAGAGAAATTGCTACATTAAGGTACTTTGGGGAGACTGCAACATGTGTATTCCATGTACTTTTTGGTATGTTGCCTGCTATGTTTGTGTAGATTACATTTTCTACATATTTTTAAAAATAAAAAACTCCGAATTGTTCAAGATTTTAACTCCCGATTGTGCCTCCTAAGGCTTCCTAATCCGGTCTCCACTTACGCCTCCAAGTCACGCCTCTGTTCCAAACCGTTTAGCTTCTCCAGCCAGTTTAGACACCACCTCTGAGCCTTTACTGTTTCCACGACCTTCCCCCCGACGAAAACCTCCTACGCCTCCTTCCCCCAAAAGACCTACAGATCCCCCATTTTCGCCCCACTCTTTTCTCTGACGCGCTCACTGCGCCCGCGCCGCTGTCGCCGCCCCGCGCGCCCCGACCGTTTGCCACGCGCCGCGCTTTCCCCTCCGCGGCTCCTCCCCGAGCCGCCCCCGGTGCCCACGATCCCCCGGACCAGGCGCGTCGTCCCTTGCAGGACCTGGGGGCCGGCGAGGCCGCAGAGGCGGGATGGGCCTGAGCCCGGGCGCCGCCGGGGAGTACGCGCTCCGCCTCCCTAGGATTCCCCCACCCCGCCCCAAACCCGCCTCGCAAACCGCCAGTATCTTGCCCAAGGACCAGCAGCCTGCGCCCAGGCGTTTAACTGCCACCCACTCAGGTCCGCCCCAAGAACGGGTGCCCTCCCCACGAGGCCACCGTGCCCGGGCCGGGAAGCCCCTCTGGGTTGTCTTCCAGGTCCCAGCCGGCCGTTACCCTCCAAACTCCTTTTCCTTTTTCTTTTTCCTTTTCCCCTTCTCCTTTTCTTTTCTTGACAGAGCCTCACACTGTTGCGTGATCTGGGCTCACTGCAACCTCCGCCTCCCTAGTTCAAGAGATTCTCCTGCCTCATCCTCCTCCTATAAGCCTCCTGGGATTATAGGCGCCCGCCACCACGCCCAGCTAATTTTTGTATTTTTAGTAGAGACGGAGTTTCACCATCAGGCTTGTCTCGAACTCCTGACGTCAAGTGATTCTCCCACCTCGGCCTCCCAAAGTGCTGGGATTACAGGCGTGAGCCACCGCGACCGGCCACCCTCAAAGCTCCTTAGACACTTGGCGATTGTGTTGTCTGTTTGCCATCCTGAGTGAATATTTCAGCATGACCTCTTGTTATAAGCTAATCAAAACAAGCCAGGCAGTCGCTCCCTCCTCCCTGCTGTATCTCCTGTAAAGTGAGGCAGTGGCAGCGGCTCCCGAGGGCGGAGTCAAGACCGGCTCTAGTTCTGCAAAAGTTCCTCCCATCGGGCTTAGGGCAGAGACGAGGCGCCCTTCTCCATCCTCTCCCGGATTCCGATTCCGTCCCCAGGAATTCCAAAGTCTCTCTTTGGCGGAGGAACTGAACCCGCTGCAAAAGCTAGTTCCACAACCCTCTCCATTCATCCCAGCATTTCCTGAGGCCTAACCAGGAGCCGGGCACTATGCTAGGCTAGAGCTCTGAGCCCATTCTCCCGTAGCGGTCAAGGTGCTTGCTCGAATTCTCCTTTCGCAGGTCTAAATAGCATTCCTCCCGCCCCTCCCCCCCCTTGAATTAGAAGAATCCGTGGGATTCGCAGCGTTGGCCCAGCTCCCAGCCAAGCAGCCTGCAGCCTGCACGTTAGAACAGGGCAGAAGCATCCAGCAAGGGTAAGAAGATTGAGTGGAGGAAGTTTTTTGAAGGATTGACTTGGAACGCAGTTCTGTAAAACAAACCCAGACGTGGTTTTTGTGCGAACCAGCTTGCCCCAGCAAGGGGAAGGCTGGTGTGATCCTGGGTGATCACAGATTGTACTGGGCGAGCGACCTGCTGGTCACAGACATGCGTTGCAGCCGTTTCTAGCCACAAGGTCATTCTCTAGACCCCAGAGACACGAATGGCTTTTAGCAGGAGGCCTACAGTATTGTTCTTGGTCTCACTAATCAATGAACGGTGACTTGGCCTTTGGCAGAGTCCCTGAATTCACTTTCCTTAACGACGTGATGGTTGCTGCTTTAAAAAATGTTGAGGGGCTGAAATTTTGGAGAGGAGCTATACTGAAAATGAGGGGTGTCCCACCGGCCCCACACACTCATTGTTTCTGGAGAAGAGTTTAAAGCATGGGAAAAGGTAAAGAAAAAGCCGTTTCTGAGTTGCTGGTGCACCGGATGTACAGTGCTGTCTCTTTTCACCCTCTTGACACCTCCGTGAGACACATATTTTCATCTCTGTTTTAAAGATAATCAAGCTGAGGGTCAGACATTAACTAGCTCAAGGTGGGATGGCAATCACAGAATTCAGACCTAGATCGTTTGGACTCCAAGGTATTTTATGCTGCTCTCCTACCTTAATTTAATATGCTCGAAAGCATATTCTTGCCTTGCATTTCTGTCCTCTCCTGTAACATTTGGTTTTCAGACAGAAATATACTGATTTCATTCATGTTACAGTGAGAAATATACTGATTTCATTCATGTTACAGTGAGAAATATACTGATTTCATTCATGTTGCAGTTACAGTGTTGTGCCTCATCAAGCTTGCTTAGAGATCTGAAGCTAATTATTGGAAGAGACAGCTCTAGATTTCAAGGACTTTGCCTCTGCAGTAGGGCTGGGATGAGGAGGAAAAGGAGGAAGGCTCCTTGTATTTCATTATAAATTCCTATGTCCTGGTTCCTTAAAAAAAAGCGGAACCAACAACAACTATCTGCAAGTATCACTTTGATAAACATTAAAAAGAGATTATTAGCAAATTAAAAAATAGAAACCCCCAAAACTACTTCTTGCTATCGTTAATTAGCATTTAAACAATTGTCAGAAAACCAGCAAACAGCAGTTCTTTTGTATAAAAGCTAATGGGTTCACAGAAACAAGCTTAGGAGGGAAATGTTCCCTAGTCTGGAAGCCAAAAGGCATCTTAAAAATCACAAATCTGTAATACAGATTTTCCAATAATTATGAAATAGTAATATTTGTTAACTATATGATTGCAAAATCATTTAGAGAGAAGCCTGTCCTTAGCTTGGAGACCACACCCAGCCAGAGAGCAGAGTGGATCTCAATTCCCAAGCCTGAGAATGAAGGCAAGTTGATAAAGCAAGCAACTGAGGTAGGTATAACAAGGATTCTAAAAGTGACTCTCTTTAACCTCCTGGCAGCTCCTCTACATACTGTATTTTACTTTGTTTCCAGGGGTCTCCAATCTTTTGGCTTCCCTGGGCCACATTGGAAGAAGAAGAAATGTCTTGGGCCATACCTAAAATACACTAGCACTGACAATAGCTGATGAGCTTAAAAAGAAAACCACAAAAAAAAAAACCTCATAATGTCTTAATAAAGCTTATGAATTTGTGTTGGGCCACATTCTAAGCTGTCCTGGGCTGCATGTGGCCTGTGGGCTGTGGGTTGGACAAGCTTGGTTTAGATGGTCTAATAAATATCCTGATTTGGGATGTTGGTTATGCTTTGTTTTAAGGCAGCTTTACCGAGGAATAATTGACATAGACTCCACATATCTAAAATATATAACTCGATACATTTGGCATAGATATACACCTGTGAAGCATACAGCTTGATACATTTTGGTATCTATGTATATCCTGTGAAATCTTCACCACAGTCAAGATAATGGATAACCTCTATAATTTACAAGTTTCTTTGTGCCTCTTGTAATCCCTCTTTCTTCCCACACCACTCCCATCCCCAGGCAACAACTGATATGCTTTTTGTCGCCATAGATTTTGCATTTTTAAAAGATTTATATGAAATCATATTGTATGTGTACTTCTTTGTCTACTTCATATAACTATTTCGAGTGACATCCATGTTGTTGCTTTTTATCAACAGTTCATTCCTTTTTATTACTGAGTAATATTTCATTACATGGATATACCACTCTTATCTGTTCACCTGTTGATTGAGCATTTGAGTTGCTTCTCGTTTTTGACTATCACAAATCTGCTTTATATACATTTATGTACAAGTCTTGGTGCAGACCGTGTATTTTTTCCTCTTGGGTCAATATGTAGGAATGAAATGGCTAGGTCATGTTGTAGATGTATATTTAACTTACTGTTTTCCTTTAAATTTCTTTTCTTTGTTGGGGCTTTCCAAGCCTTCTAGACAAATTCTAAAAGCGCTCTTAAATACTGTTTTCCACAGTGGTTGTATAATTTTACATTCCTACTAGCAGTGTATAAGAGTTCCAGTTCATCAGCATTTGGCATGGTCAATCTTCTAGATTTTAGTGATTTTAATAGATGTGTAGATATCTCATTGTCGTTTCCATTTGCATTTTTCTAATGACTAATAATGTTGCACATCTTTTCATGTGTGTATTTGCCATCCTTATGCATAATCTTTGGTGATGTGTTCAAATCTTTTGCCCATTTTTTCCTATTGGTTCGTATGTTTTGTGAGTTCTTCAGAGGCTCCGTATGCAAGTATGTCATCAGATACATATTCTGTAATATTTTCTCTTCATCCATGGCTTGTCTTTTCAGAACAGGTTCTTAAATTTTGATGAAGTCCAATGTATCAGCTTTTCCTTTTATGAAAAGGAAATGTAATGAAATACTGTTTTTGCAGTTGTGAATTGTGCTGCTATAGACATGCATATGCAGGTGTCTTTTTCATATAATGACTTCTTTTCCTCTGGTTAGATACCCAGTAGTGGGATTGCTGGATCAAATTGTTCTACTTTTAGTTCTTTAAGAAGTCTCCATAGTGTTTTCCATAGTGGTTGTACTAGTTTACATTCCCAGCAACAGTGTAGTAGTGTTCCCTTCTCACCATATCTATGCTAACACATACTATTTTTTGATTTTTAAGTTATGGCCATTCTTGCAGGAGTAAGGTGGTATTATTGCATTGTAGTTTTGATTTGCATTTCCCTGATAATTAGTGATGTTGAACATTGTTTTCATATGTTCGTTGGCCATTTATATATCTTCTTTTGAGAATTGTCTGTTCATGTCCTTTGCCCACTTTTTGATAGGATTGTTTGTTTTTTTTTTTCTTGCTAATTTGTTTGTGCAGATTCTGCATGTTAGTCCTTTGTTGGATGCATAGTTTGTGAATATTCTCTCCCACTCTGTGGGTTGTCTGTTTACTCTGCTGATTGTTTCTTTTGCTGTGCAGGAGCTTTTTGGTTGAATTTGGTCTCATCTATTTATTTTTGTTTACATTGCATTTGCTTTTGGGTTCTTGATCATGAACTCTTTGCCGAAGCCGATGTCTAGAAGGGTTTCTCTGATGTTATCTGCTAGAATTTTTATGGTTTCAGAGCTTATAGTTAAGTCTTTGATCCATCTTGAGTTGATTTTTGTAGAAGGTGAGAGTTGAGGATCCAGCTTCATTCTTCTGCATATGGCTTGCCAATTATCCCAGCATTATTTGTTGAATAGGATGTCCTTTCCACTTCATGTTTTTGTTTGCTTTATTGAAGACAGTTGGCTGTAAGTATTTTTCTTTATTTCTGGGTTCCCTATTCTGTTACACTGGTCTACATGCCCGTTTTTATACCAGTACCGTTTTGGTAACTGTAGCCTTGCAGTACAGTTCAAAGATGCCTCAAGATTTGTTCTTTTTGCTTAGTCTTGCTTTGGCTCTGTGGGCTCTTTTTTTGGTTCCATATTAATTTTAGCATTGTTTTTTCTAGTTCTGTGAAGAATGATGGTATTTTGATGGGAATTGCATTGAATTTGTAGACTGCTTTTGGCAGCATGGTCATTTTCACAATATTGATTCTACCCATCCACGAGCACGGGATGTGTTTCCATTTGTTTGTGTCATCTGTAATTTCTTTCAGCAGTGTTTTATTTTCCTTGTAGAAACCTTTCATGTCTTTGGTTAGATATATTCCTAAGTATTTTATTTTATTTTTTTTACAGCTGTTGTAGAAGGGGTTGAGTTCTCGATTTGATACTCAGTTTGGTCATTGCTGGTGTATGGCAGGGCTACTGATTTGTGTACAATAATTTTGTATCCTGAAACTTTGCTAAATTCATTGACCAGTTCTAGGAGTTTTTGGATTAGGCTTTAGGATTTTCTAGGTATATGATCATATCAGCAAACAGCAACAGTTTGACTTCCTCTTTACCGATTTGGATGTCCTTTATTTCTTTCTCTTGTCCGATTGCTCTGGATAGGACTTCCAGTACTATATCAAATAAATGTGGTGAAAGTGGGCATCTGTGTCTTGTTCCAGTTATCAGGGGGAATGCTTTCAACTTTTTCCCATTCAGTATAATGTTGGCTGTGGGTTTGTTGTAGATGGCTTTTATTGCCTTGAGGTATGTCCCTTCTATGCTGATTTTGCTGAGGGTTTAATCATAAAGGGATACTGGATCTTGCGGAATGCTATTTCTGTGTCTATTGAGATGATCATGTGATTTTTGTTTTCAGTTCTGTTTATGTGGTATATCACATTTATTGACTTGCATATATTGAGCCATCCCTGCATCCCTGGTATGAATACCACTTGGTCATAGTGTATTATCTTTTTGATATACTGTTGGATTCAGTTAATTAGTATGTTGTTGAGGATTTTTATGTTACTGTTCATCAGGAATATTGGTCTGTAGTTTTCTTTTTTTGTTATGTCCTTTCCTGGTTTTGGCATTAGGGTTATGCCGGCTTCATACAAGAATTTAGGGAGCAGTCCCCTTTCTCTGTCTTTTGGAATAGTTTCAGTAAGATTGATATCAATTCTTTGAATGCCTGATAGAATTCAGCTGTAAATCTGTCTGGTCCGGGACTTTTTTGTTGTTGGCATTTAAAAAAATTACTGTTTCAATCTTGCTACTTGTTATAGGTCTGTTCAGAGTTTCTATTTCTTCCTGATTTAATCTAGGAGGGTTGTTGTATATTTCCAGGAATTTATCCATCTCCTCTAGATTTTCTAGTTTGTGTATGTGAGTGATCTTTTGTATTTCTGTGGTATCAGTTGTAATATCTCCCATGTCTTTTCTAATTGAGTTTATTTGGATCTCTTCTCTTTTCTTGGTTAATTTCGTTAGTGGTCTATCAATTTTGTTTATCTTTTCAAAGAACCAGCATTTTGTTTCACTTATCTTTTGTGCTTTTTTTTTTCTGATTTCAATTTCAGTTAGTCCTGTTCTGATCCTGGTTCTTTTCTTCTGCTGGTTTAGGTTTGGTTTATTCTTGTTTTTCTGGTTTCTTGAGGTGTGACCTTAGATTTTTTTTTTTTTTTAATGTAGGCATTTAATGCTACAAACTTTCCTCTTAGCACCATTTTTGCTGTGTCACTGAGCTTTTGGTAAGTTGTGTCACTACTATTGTTCAGGTCAAAGAATTTTAAAATTCTTGATTTAAAAATCTTGATTTCATTGTTGACCAAAGATCATTCAGGAGTAGATTACTTAGTTTCCATGTATTTGTAAAGTTTTGAGAGTTCCTTTCAGAGTTAATTTCTAATTTTATTCCACTGTGGTCTGAGAGGGTACTTGATATTCCGATGTTTTTAAATTTATCGAGACTTGTTTTGTGGCCTATCAAATGGTCTGTCTTGGAGAATGTTCCATTTGCAGATGAAAAGAATGTATATTTTGCAGTTGTTGGGTGGAATGTTCTGTAAATATCTGTTAAGTTTATTTATTCTAGGGTATAGTTTAAGTCCAATGTTTCTTTGTTGACATTCTGTCTTGATGACCTGTCTAGTGGTGTCAGTGGAGTATTCAAGTCCCTCACTATTATTGTGCTGTCTTCTGTATCTCATTTCTTAGGTCTAGTAATAATTGGTTTATAAATTTGGGAGCTCTTGTGTTAGGTGCAAATATATTTAGGATTGTGATATTTTCCTGTTGGACTGATCTTTTTATCATTACATAATGTCCCTCTTTGTCTTTTTAAACTGTTATTGCTTTAAGGGCTGTTTTGTCTTACAGAAGAATAGCTACTCCTGCTCACTTTTGGTTTCCATTTGCTTGGACTATCTTTTCTACCCCTTTATGTTAAGTTTATGTGAGTCTTTATGCGTTAGGTGAGTCTCTTAGAGACAGAAGATACTTGGTTGGTGGATTTTAATCCATTCTGCCATTCTGTATCCTTTAAGTGGAGCATTTAGGCCATTTACATTCAATATTAGTA